CAGGACTCACGCTTCAACGACCCGCCCGCTCGACCCGCCCGTCGGGGCCTGCCCGCCCAACCAGCCCGTTAATGACTGCAGTCGCCGCTCGCTGCCCTTCGCCCGCCTTCGATGCCCCTCGCTGCCCGTACTGGTTCCGCGGTCGCCTTCGCTCGGTTCGGTGCCCTTCGTGGCCCCGTTGCTGCCCTCAGTGGCTCCGTCGCTGCCCTTTGTGGCCTCGCGTTATATGCCCTTCGTGGCCCCCGCTCGCACGCGCCCGCCGTGGCCCCATACGCATGCCCTTCGTGGCCCCGCTGTCGCCCTGCGTGGCCCCTCGCTGCCTTTCGTGGCCCCTTTGCTGCCCTCAGTGGCCCCGCTGTCGCCCTCTGTGGCCTCGTATAAGAATGCTCTTCGTGGGCCCGGCTTGTTCGCGCCCGTCGTGGCCCCATATGCATGTCCTTCGTGGCCCCGCTGTCGCCTTTTGTGGCCCCCTCGCTGCCCTTCGTGGCCCCGGTGCTGCCCTCAGCGGCCCCGTCTGCCCTCTGTGGCCTCGGATTTTATGCCCTTCGTGGCCCACGCTGGCTTTCTCACGATGTTCTTAGGAATCGCGCTATCGTTCGAGACTTCCTCGCGATTCACGCAGGGCCCACGCTTCAGCAACCCGCCTGCTCGACCTCGTCGCCTGGGCCCGCCTGCCCGATCTGCCCTCTATGGGTCTGCCCACCCGATCTGCCCGTCTGGTTATACCATTTGTTTTCTGCTCTTTGCCCCCCCTCCTGCTAATTTCTCTCGTGCTCCATTATTCCCCCTCCCCCTTCCACCCGTCCTCTCTTCCCTCGCTTTAGGGGCTGCACTAAATACACGTGGCAGGTAAGGAAGATTTTCCCCCAAGGGGGTACGATCGAAGACGACAAGGGCGGGTACCGAGGATTTGGCACATGCGTATTGGTTAGCACGTGAGCAGGTAGGAGCGAACAGTCTTAAAATTATTGTTGTTGTTGTTGGTGTTGTTGTTGTGGATGTTGTTTGGCGTCGTCCCCCCCGCGATCCACCCCGCGACCCACCCCGCGATCCGCCCGCGACCCACCCGCGACACACCCGCGACCCACCCCGCGACCCACCCCGCGACCCACCCGCGACCCACCCCGCGACCCACCCCGCGACCCGTCCGCGACCCACCCCGCGACCCGTCCGCGACCCGCCCCCCTCGACCTGGCCCGCGACCCACCCCGCGACCCACCCACATTGTTTTGACAAAAAACGGCGCCTGCGGCAGGCTCGCTGTGCAATCTGTAAGAATTAGGCGCCTGTTGCGGGCGGCTCCTGTAGAGCCTCACAGACTGCCGACGTCCCCGCCGCCCCCTCATTATTTGTTCCGCGACTGCGGGGCATGAGCGGCACGGTATTAGGTAGACTGTTGTTATTCCAAACCATCCTGTGGTGTTGGGTCCTCGTTTTGAAGAGACGTCGCCCCGCGTTCCTTCTTCCTTCCTCCTCCTCCCCTTCCTCCCCCCTCCCATCATCATCATCATCATCATCATCATCATCATCATCATCATCATCATCATTATCATCATCGTCATCGTCATCACCATGATCATCATCGACATCATCGACGTCATCATCACCACCATCATCATCGTCATCGTCATCACCCAATTCGGCACACCCCTCACACGTTTCGTGGCCCCATAGGGAGCTCCACCCAAGGCCCCCGTGGCTGCGTTCGCATGCGCCCACCGCACCCATTTCGGCGCACCCCTCACACGTTTCGTGGCCCCACAGGGAGCTCCACCGAAGGCCCCAGTGGCTGCGTTCACATGCGCCCACCGCACCGATTTCGGCACACCCCTCACACGTTTCGTGGCCCCATAGGGAGCCTCACCGAAGGCCCCCGTGGCTGCTTTCGCATGCGCCCACCGCACCCAGTTCGGCACACCCCTCACACGTTTCGTGGCCCCACAGGGAGCTCCACCGAAGGCCCCAGTGGCTGCGTTCACATGCGCCCACCGCACCGATTTCGGCACACCCCTCACACGTTTCGTGGCCCCATAGGGAGCCTCACCGAAGGCCCCCGTGGCTGCGTTCGCATGCGCCCACCGCACCCAGTTCGGCACACCCCTCACACGTTTCGTGGCCCCACAGGGAGCTCCACCGAAGGCCCAGTGGCTGCCGTCCGCATGCGTCCCGCACACCCATGCCGGCACACCCCTCACACGTTCCGTGGCCACTCACAAGTTGAGCGGGTGGGGGGATGTGGGGATGGGGGGTGGGTCGTGGGTGGGGTTGGATGGGGTTGCCGGTGGGGTATGTGGGGTGGGGGTGTTTTGTGTGTATTTTTAAGGGAGAAAGGCCGAGTTGTGTTTTTCGAAACTGTAAGAGTCCCTAATTTCTTTTTTAGAGTGTTTTTTATTTCTATTTATGCTTTACTTTTTGATTTTTTTTTCCTACTTACATTGTCTTGCTTATATTTTTTTTTTTCTTTTTTTAACGTTTTCTTCCACCGAAGGCCCCAGTGGCTGCGTTCGCATGCGCCACCGCACCGATTTCGGCAACACGGCCACAAGCTTCGTGGCCCCCCCAAGGGAGCCTCACGAAGGCCCGGTGGCTGCGTTCTTTTCGCATTGCCCACCGCACCCATTTCGGCACTACCCCTCACACGTTTTTAGTGGCCCATAGGGAGCTCCACGAATGGCCCCAGTTGGCTGCGTTTTCCACATGCGCCCACCGCACCGATTTCGGCACACCCCTCACACGTTTCGTGGCCCCATAGGGAGCCTCACCGAAGGCCCCCGTGGCTGCGTTCGCATGCGCCCACCGCACCCAGTTCGGCACACCCCTCACACGTTTCGTGGCCCCACAGGGAGCTCCACCGAAGGCCTCGGTGGCTGCGCTCGCATGCGGTTCCACCCCCCATTACGGCACACCCCTCACACGTTTCGTGGCTCCATAGGGAGCTCCACCGAAGGCCTCGGTGGCTGCGCTCGCATGCGGTTCCACCCCCAATTGTGGCACACCCCTCACACGCTTCGTGGCCCCATAGGGAGCTCCACCGAAGGCCCCGGTGGCTGCGTTCGCATGCGGTTCCGCCCCTCATTCTGGCACACCCCTCACACGCTTCGTGGCCCCATAGGGAGCTCCACCGAAGGCCCCAGTGGCTGCGCTCGCATGCGGTTCCACCCCCAATTTCGGCACACCCCTCACACGTTTCGAGGCCCCATAGGCGGCGCCGCCCCATTTCGGCACACCCCTCACACGCTTCGTGCCCCCATAGGGAGCTCCAGCTAAGGTCCCCGTGGCGCAGTGCGCATGGCGCCGCCGCCCCATCTTGGCACACCCCTCACACGTTCCGTGGCCCCACAGGGAGTTCCATCTCAGGTCCAAGTGGCGCAACTCGCATGGCGCCGCCGCCCCATTTTGGCACACCCCTCACACGTTTCGTGGTCCCATAGGGAGGGAGGAGGAGGTGGAGGAGGAGGAGGAGGAGGAGGAGAAGGAACCCCCACGATATCCACAATTGCGGTATTCACAACTACGTATGGTTGGGTCTTTCGTCAGGCTAATTTTTTTCTGGGCGACGGGACGTGATGAAGACGTTAGGACCAAAGTCGATTGAGCCGTGCATGGGAACCGACCCAGCCAGATCAGTTATGTTGTCAGGGGCATGCCGTATGCCCCGACCATCGTGTGGTGCTGGGCTTTTTGAAAATCTAGTGCCCAGCGTTCTCTCCTCTCCTCTCCTCTGCCCCCCTTCTCCTCCATCCTCCCACCTCTTCCTTTGCCCCCGCATGTCCAAGTCGGCACAACCCTCCACAAGCTGCGTGTCCCCATAGGGAGCTCCATCGGAGGCCCCAGATGGGAGCTCCACCGAAGGCCCCAGGGGGAATGTTCGCAGGTGGGCGTCACGCCCGTGTCGGCAAACACCTCACGTGTTACGTGGCCCCATAAGGCGCCCCACCGACGACCCCAGAGCGATCGTTCGCATGTGGGCGTCACGCCCGCTTCGGTATACCACTCACGCGATTTGTGCCCCGATATGGGAGCTACACCGAAGTCCCCAGAGGGAGCGTTCGTATGTGGGCGTCACGCCAGCTCCACCCAAGAAGGGAGCGTTCGCATGTGGGCTTCACGCCCGCTTCGGGACGACCCTCACACGTTGCTTGGCATCAGAGGGAGTTCCACCGATGGCTCCAACGGGAGCGTTCGCGTGTGGGCGTTGCACCCGTTCCGGCACACCCCTCACCTGTTTCGTGGTCACATACGGAGCTCCACAGAGGGCCCGAGAAGGATCGTTCGCATGTGGGCGCCACGCCCGTGTCGGGACGCCCCTCACGCGTTTCATGGCACCAGAGGGAGTGCCACCGAAGGTCCCACAGGGAGTCTTCACGTGCAGGCGTCAAACCCGTTCAGGCGCACCCCTCACATGTTTCGAGGCCCCGTAGTGAGCTCTACCGAAGGCCCCAGAGGGAGCGTTCGCAGATGGGCGTCACGCCCAAGTCGGCACATCCATCACGCGTGTTGTGGCCCCACAAGGAGCTCGAACGAAGGCCCCAGCGGGATTGTTCGCATGTGGGCGTCACTAGGGCTTCGGTACACCATTCACGCGCTTCGTGGCCCCACAGGAAGCTCCACCGAAGGCCCCAGATGTAGCGTTCGCATGTGGGCCTCACGCCCGTTTCGGGGCACCCCTCGCGCGCTTCGTGGCCCCATAGGGAGCTCCGCAGAAGGCCCCAACTGCACGGTCCACATACGGCCCACACCTCCCCTACCCCATGTCGGCATAGCTCTAGCCCGCCTCTTCGCCCCATGGGGGAATTCACCGGAGACCATACTCACAGCTGCGCCATTCACAATTGAATAAGTCTGGGTCCTTCGCCAGGATCATCTTTTTTCAAGGCCTGCCCAATTTATGCGGCCATGCTAGGGTCTGGTCATCCCCAGCCTGCGTTTGCACACGCGCGCCGCACCGGGCACCAGAGTCCCCCCGTCCTGTCCGATCCATTTGCGCATCACGCCGACAGGACGAAGAGCTGATGATGAAGATCAGCAAGAAAATTCAGACCACGAACTCCGAAGCCAAACAGCCCGGCAAGCCGTCTGCGTTCCAGCAAGGCTACGAGTGGCGATGTTGTTGCCTCTCTTTGCGAAAGATCGATGTCTATCCTGCGAGCACGTCTGGGCTTGTTTCGGATCTTGATGCGTAGAGATGCCTCGCATTAGTTGATGCATTTTGTGAAGGCTGTCGGCAGGAATGTGTTGTTGGGTGATTCAGCTTCCTTATGGTGTCGACTCTTACTGTCGCCTCCAGGTTGATCAGCAGTGCATGATATGAGCAATGCCCTTATGGTAAGACGACCAAGACGATGAATCAGCGAGCGAGGCGGAAGGTTTCAAGCTGCGGGCGACCTCGAGGGCGCGCCCTGGAGAGCCCCTCACACCCCCCGAGGCGACATGCCGCAGTCCGACGACGCAAAAGCCGGAGGCGGGCCGCCCCATCGCCCTTTGCTGCGGCGCGGAGGGGCCGCACGGGCGGGCCTGCGCCATGCGGAGGACAACGGGTGTCCGCGGCTCGGTCGGCTCGGCTGCGTCGCAGTCGGCTGCGCTCGGTTGGCTCGGTTCGGTCGGCTGCGGCGGCATTGCGCCTTCGCTGCGTCGGCAGGTCTGGTTTCGTTCGGGTGCGGTCTCGGTGTCGCTCTCGATCGGTTTCCGGCTGTGCCCTCGCCGCGGCTGGTCCCGGGAAGAAGCAGGAGGAGTTGTTGTCGTGTGCCATGCTGAAGTGCGGTTTGCGGCCGCAGGGCGGCTGACGCGCGGAAGCCGGGCGGCTTTCTCATCCGAGAGCAGTCTTGGGTTCTCAACGGCCGTAGTGGCGCGGCATAAAGAGTGGGACGAGAGGGGGGGAATAGGAGAGGGGTCGCTTGCGAAGTCTTTGCTGCGTGCTGCTGGTTTCGGCCCGGCCGCCAAGCGGTTTCCTCGACACATGGGCGTCTTCAGCGCCGACGTACGTGAGTTGAGTCGCTCAACTCCCCTTTAGAGCAAAGTCTCCTGCACGGGGCAAACCCGGCGCACCCGGCGCACCCGGCGCACCCGGCACACTCGGCACACCCGGCACACCCGGCACACCCGGCACACCCGGCACATCCGGCGCACCTGGCACACCCGGCGCACCCGGCACATCCGGCGCACCCGGCGCACCCGGCACACCCCGCACACCCGGCGCGCCCGGCGCACTTGGCGCACCCGGCACATCCGGCGCACCCGGCGCACCCGGCGCGCCCGGCGCACCCGGCGCACCTGGCACACCCGGCGCACCCGGCACATCCGGCGCACCCGGCGCACCCGGCACACCCGGCACACCCGGCGCACCCGGCGCACCTGGCGCACCCGGCACATCCGGCGCACCCGGCGCACCTTGCGCACCCGGCGCACCTGGCGCACAGGGCGCACCCGGCACACCTGGCACACCCGGCGCACCCGGCGCAGCACCCGGCGCACCCGGCACACCCGGCACACCCGGCACACCCGGCAAACCCGGCGCACCACCCGGCGCACCACCCGGCACACCCCGCACCTGGCGAACCCGGCGCACCCGGCGCACCCGGCGCACCCGGCGCACCCGGCACACGGCACACCCGGCACACCCGGCGCACCCGGCGCACCCGGCACCCCGCACAAGCGACTCTTATGCCCCTTTACTATCCCACCCGTTCGTCCGATCCGAAAGTGATTTCACCAACGCGCAAAGCAAACGAAGCAACAACTGGATGCTTCCTGCAAGTTCGCACCGCGTTAACACGGCGCAGCGGCGACCCCAGCGCGGGCGTTCCAGTTTGATCGCCGCCAGTGGCCGGGACTCGGCAGGCATCGAATGATACGCGCTATCGGAGAGCCAGTCGGCATTCAACGATCCGCCTGGCAGTGCCAGGAATCAAAACTGATGCATCCAAACGTGAGCCCGCAGTTCTCTCTGTGGTTTGTGTCATCGGGAGCTTGCTGGGGGGCGTCCTGTGGCTGCTCTCGGTGCATGCTGGAGGCCTGCTGGAGGAGCTTGGGACCGTTCTCTTAGAGGTCTGGGGCCGCCTGCAGGAGTCTTTGGCAAGTCTTACCCTTCCGATGGCGTGCCCCCAAAAAGGACCGACAGGGGTTGAGGCGCTTTCCAAGCCTCAGAGCACAAAACCTGCTGGAACAAAGTCTTACATGTGAGGTATTGGGGCGTCTTGGCCGGGTGCCTCTTCGGGCCATCCCTGGAGCTTGCGGGGGGGAAGGGGAGGAGAAGGAAGAGGAGGAGGAAGAGGAGGAGGAGGAGGAGGTGGCAAACCGCCTCTTGGAGCCCTTGTGGGACGCTCTTTGGGCGCTCTCAGGGCCGTCTTGGGGCCGTCTTGGGGCCCTCTTGGGGCTCTCTTGGGGCTCTCTTGAAGGCCCCGACGGCCTCTTCGGGCCATCTTCTACGGCGTTGGTTTGCCTCCGCCCCCTAGGGCCACCACACGTCGCCTCTTGGAGTCTTCTTTGGGCGCTCGTGGGCCCCTCTTGCGGCTCTCGTGGGCCATCTTGAGGCCTCCAAGGCGCATCGGAAGCGAAAGTGAGAAACGGCACACATCATTTATTTGTTTTTCAGGTGTATGAATGAGTTTGGCCTCTGGGGGGGAGTCCTGCGGGGCTCCGACAGCACTTGGAACCGTCTTGTGGCCCTCGTCGGGCCTCCTGGAGGTACGTCGAAAGCCATCTTGAGCCACCTTCGGCTATACTAACCCATCTTGGAGCACCGGAGGCCCTCTCGGAGCCATCCTAGGCGCTCTAACCCTCCGTCCCCCCCGTCCGGACTTGTGATGGAAGACGCCCCAGAGAGGAGGGGTTCAGGTAGGAATCGCCGAATTATGAAAAAAATAAAACAAATACGAAACAAATGTGAACTCATGAAAACATCAAATTGTACAAAAATTGTCTACGCGATTTTCGAAATTGCGAGAGCCAAGATTGCTCTGCTCGCGCGACCACCGCATGAACGCGAGGGGGCAAGACCTTCTTCGGGACGTTCGGCTACAAACCCTTCCGCGAGAAATGGTCAGCCGCGGAAACGAGATGCCGTTTAGTAGGTCCATTTGCAGAAGTGAAATGTTTCGGCAGATTGAATAGGGGCCGCGCGATTCCGACGCGAGGTAGCAACGCGCTCGTCGCTGATGCAATGTACGCCAACTAGTTGCGAGAACTCGCCCTCCTCCTGCCAATAAGCGAATGGTCGACACAGTAGACGGCACTCGCTGCAGCTACTTTCCTATGCGCTCACCCATCGGCGTGCAGGGCCCTGCAGGATCAACGCGCGCGTTGAAGTCGCGCCCGCTGCCATTGCGGCATTATCCGCGCGATGCATTTAACGCCCTCGTCGGTTTAGGGGCAACGCTTGCGGTTCGGCTGCATCGCCTGCAGTCGACCTGGCACCGTCTTGGGTTCGCAGCTTCATGTTTGCCCTGAACCTTGCGGCCAACGCTCTCGCAAGTTGCGATGGGCCTTCGACGTCGCCCCCGTGCCCAGCAGGCGTTCGCCTGGGCACCTTGCGCACGAACAAAGTGCGCGCTTGTGTTGAAAAGTTCAGGACCCTCCATCCAATTTGGAATCGGCAATGCCTCACGTTGCCGTGCGCGGTCGAGGGCCATGGTTCCTCTGTTTGCGGGGCCTGCGCGTTCCCACTAGACATGGGTCCTTCAACCGCGCGTTCTGCGCTCTTGTCCTCAAGCGCCTGGCTCCGCTCGAAGTCGGGATGTGGGGGGCTCGCGGCGTGGTAGGGTCGCGTGGGGTGGTGGTCGGGCGGGGGGGGGGGGGGGCGCGATCGGCGCGCGGGGTTTGTGCGGGATGGCGTGCGTTTGTGGGTGGCGGTGGGATCGGTTTGGCGGTCGTGGGGGGGCTCGCGTTGTGGTGGCGGTGCGTGCAAGTGCTGTTGTTGCACGTGGCGGCTGAGTGCGTGCGCGGGCTTGCGCGCGCGCGCGTTTGGCATCGCGCGTGCGTGTAGGGGGGGGGGGGGGGGGGGGACTCCTTTCAGGGTTTGGTGGTCTGCGGGAGGGGCTGGGGGGTTGGGCTGGGCGAGCGCGTGGCGGGGCCAGCTTTTTTGTGGTGGCGGTGGGCGCGCGGGAGGAGCCACTTGGCTGTGACCATTCTGCGGCGCGCGTGCTCCCTCGGTCAGTATCGAATCATTCGGTCACAGGGGCAAGGGTGCAGACTGTGGGTTGCTGAGGGGGTGCGATGTTGTTTTGCCGTTTGTTGTTATATGTTGCAAGGCGGATGAGGAGGACATGGAGGAAGAGGAACAGGAAGAGGAAGCTAAGGCAACACAATCAGGGTGGTCTTGGTTAGCTAGCACGACAGGGCCTGGCACATGTTCTCATGTGTACAGAAGCAACGTATGGGGGGCTTTTTGATTTTGTCAAAATTTCCCAGAGTAGCGCCCGTCGCCCCCCGCTCCGCCCCGCTAGAGGGCAGTCGGGCTTCCCTGGCGTTTGGCGTCCCTGGTCCAATTGTTTCCGTGGCGATCCTGCTACTGCGTCGGCCCTCAGAAAGGGAACCGCGCCGCCAGGGCTGCCACGGGGGCAAAGGGCGGCTGGGGGCGCCTCGCCACGGTTCGCTCGCCAGCTCGTGTTAGATTGACAGGGAAGTGGTGATATGTTTCCTCTCGCCGTCGTCCGCGGCCCCGAAATCCTCAAGTCCAGGTCTTAAAATCAAGCTCGGACACGCGCGGGCGTGACATGTCACGTTGCGCACCACGTGCCCAAATATAGCTCAAACACGGGCTCCGATGCCGATTTTTGTCACATCGACGGGTTTCGTCGTTCTGCGGCTGTGCGTTCGCGGCCGTTGTGGATCAAGCCAGCTGGCTTCTTCGATAATCTCGATTCCAGTGTTTTCTCCCAGTGTTCGCGCACTGCGCGCATTCCATATTATTTCGCGGTTCGCCGCCTCCATATCATTCTCAGTGGATTGTGTAAGAGTTCTGGTTCTTCTCCCTTTGGCGGCTGTTGCCGCTGCTATCCGTCTAGAGTGCGACACGTCGTATTCTCGGCCGTGCAGACGCGCATGGACGATGAGAAAAGCCTGGGGCCACAAGTCAGGTGCAGCTCGCTCGGAGCAGAATGCGCGGAGACAGTCTTGGGGCGCAGCATCGGCACCGTTGTGCGGTCAGAGGGCTTCGTGGGCTTCCTCGGCTGGAGCCTGTGTTCGACGGTCCTGGTCTGGTCACGCGTCGTTCGGTGATGTTTCTGATCCCAGCCCCGATGCCGACCTGGGTGCGCCGCTCGTTGAGGCACCAAGCGGTGAACAGCACGCCGATGATGGTCTCATCGATTATGGTGGCGGTCTTCTGGGGTTCCCGACGCCAGAGCCAGCAGACGCAGATCTCGATCGCGATGGCGATGTCAGTGTTGGCATCGGTAGTGTTGCTGAAGATGCTGTTGTCAGCCGTCCCGTTTCACATGATGATGTTCTGGCAGATGATCTTGCGATAGTCGTTGCAGCACCAGTTGGCAATCTTTCTCATCAGATCGGTGTTGGTCTTGGTGCGACTTGCAATCCTAACAGACTTGTCGGTGATGTTGTGGCTCAGGGAGATGAAATATTTTATGGTGAACAGTTTCTCATGAGCTCAGTTGCTCTTGCCAACAAGATTGGAGTGGAGCGAAATCAGCCGTCTGTTCGACGTAGCCAGCTGGCTGCCGCTGGCCTCGCTCTGCAGAAGTTTTTGCACACGTCACTTCTTGCAAAGGCGGTAACATCTGTGGTGCGAGATGGTGGTCAGCCCGTTCTGCTGGCGAAGCAGGTTCGTTACGATGAGACTCCGATGAGAATCAACGTCAAGGACTCCAACACGTCATCTAAATCTGGGTCATTTGTCGACACGTCTGCGGCTTTCTCCGATATCCCGAAGTTCTTGGCTGATCTTTTGAGAATGGAATCGTACGATTCGGTGCCTGCGAAGTTGCTTCAATCAGAGTGGCGTGTCTCAACGTTATCCCACCTGCGTTCTGGAGGGTATGTGTTGGTGACGTTCGATGTTTTCGCCCCAGTGCAGGCTTTGGCGTCGACGTCGGCAGAAGATTTTGTGGAAGCACTTTCTCGAACGGAGCCCGACTTAGGCCCATGTCAGAATCTATATCATTGCTTTCGGCAAATCCCGCTACCGTGCCAGCGTGGAAGGAAAGTGAGTTCGGGTGTTCTGTGGCCATGTCGCCTGGCGGTCTCTCGAGGTGCTTCTGAAGCTATGGCGGATGCCTCCTGGAACTGTTTCGGGATCTTTTCGGTTCTTTTAGAGTCTTGAAGGTATATGTGGGCGTCTGGGGGCCTCCTGGGAATCTCGCGTGGCCTCTTGCGGTTTCCCAGCGCTGGAGGGAGTCTCGGGGGGGGGGGGCTCTGGGGCTGGGTGGTTTTGGCGCACTCCCCTCCTTGGGCGAAATGCGTTTTCAAGGTTGGTGGAGGGCTTCTGGGTACCAGAGCATTCATTCAGGGAGCAGCGATGAGATACGGCGTGGGCCTGCTGGGACTCGAAGGGTTGCTGGGGCTGCTGCTGGGCAAATCGTTGGTCTGGGAGGGGAAGTCCGACGACCAGAGAACAAACGATTCCGTGCCGGAGGGCGCGGCTGCGGATTCCAGCGGATCATCCAACTATCTTGCATTGGTGGTGACTCTGCCGATGGAAAAGCTGAGGAGTGCATTTCGATATTGAATGGGTACCCCACGTTGCATACCACGTGTCATACTCACAGGTGGGCTAATAGTAACAAGAACGTTGCTAAACTTCGTGAAGCTGATTTTTCTTCCATCGTAAATTGGAGCCTCGCTCTCAATCAGCCTGGTGCGATGGGGGTATTTCGACAAGTCGTCCGAGATACCATTGATGAGAGTTTACGTATTATTGATGGTGTGCCCCTTTCTTGGCATCGTGTGCACCAGCGTGCCGTACTTGATTGCTTCTGCAGTGGGAAGCACAACCTCGGTCGCAGGGCTTTAATTTCGTTTATTGCGAATGGCAACTGGGAGAATGTTGATGTTTTTGAGCACTGGACCATGGGGGTTCCGAGAGAGGAGAAGGAAGTGCGACACTTGGTTTCTGTCATATTTCGTGAAGGCTTTATGTGGATCTGCTCCCAACGTATTTCCAATATCTAGGTGGACTGGTGCTGATTTGACTCTCGGTGCTCTTGGTATCCTAGATGGAGTTCATGGCATCGGCATGCCTGCGTTTCTCAGATCTGCTATCATCATGAATAGGGGTGTCGTTCCAAAATCTGTGCTGCCTGCAGCTGGTGGAGCTGCGGTCGGGGCCCCAGCCATCCCAGACGCACAGCCCGTCGTCGGCGTCGCGGGCGAGCCTGAGGATCAGAAAGACGTGGTGGAGGATCAACGGCACGCCGCCAATGCTGAGCACAAATTCGAGAAGGAGAATAACCACCAGAGGGAGTTTGCTGCGAGATGGTTGTTGCACGACTCGCTTCATGCTACTGTAGTCGCACTGCGGGTCACAATGGAACCTTTCCGCGTGCTACTCAAGGATATTTTAACGTTGTCGGGCAAGGGCTAGGAGTTCGTGGAACGGGAGAAGCACCTTGGCAGATCCAAGTCAGAGGGCTTCAGTGACATTCGCCAGCGAGACTACCGAATGCTCCTTGCAGCGCAGAACGTGCACGAGGAACGCTGCATCATTTCACTTTCGAATTTGTTGTTCCCCCAGGAAGCATGGGGGGCAGTGCCGAACGGTTACCGCCGAGAAGATGTTCAACAGACTTGCATCAGTCTTGTGTCTCGTGCCGCTGCTGAGGCGCAGCGCTACCTGGTTGACCACCACCAGGGGTGCCCCTGCAAGATGGCCAGGCGATTCGATGGCCTGGTTTTGGCGGAAGAGGTTCGAGGGACTTAACAATCACGTGAAACACTGGCTTGAACCATAGGAGAGCGGGAGGAGATAGGAACGACGGAGGAGGCATGAGAGGAGAGGTTGAGGAGATCCGAGAGGACGACGACGAGGGGATGGAGAATGGATGAGGGCTTCTGGGGGAGGAGAGGAAGGAGGAGGGTTGGGGCCTACTTATACTCCCCCCCCACACACACACACACACACACACCGCTCTCTTAAGACGTTCTCACCTCCTGCGCTCCACATCATCACATTTTTGTGTGCACGCTAGCTTCATCAGCCCCAGGTCAAGTCCGATTGCCGCGGCATGAAGGGCTCCTGGAGTACTGACTTCCTTGGTCGCCGTGGGGGTGACTTGGCGCCGACTGGCAGGGCAGTCGGGTTGTTAACTGTTATTCTCTTGACGTTGTGAGATCAAGCACCTGTTGAGGCAACCCGCGCATCGCTGCGCCGATGGCTCCATGGCCTTCCTGTGCAGACACACGTCCCACGACGTGAGCTCATCAGCGCTTGCCGCCTCACCCAAGGCTTTCGGAAGCGGTTGAAGGCATCTCGGCCATGCGGTTCACGCGGGCTTCTTCCTCAGAGGGTTCGTGGATCTGGCGCGGCAGCGCCGCCGCGAAGGGTGCGCAAGACTGGTGGCGTCCAGAGGGCATTCTTCAGCGAGCAGCTCAAGCTCCCTGGCCCTGCAAAGTCGATGGGTGAACTGCGCGCTGAGCTCAAGCGCATTCGAGCCGAGGAGCCTGATCGGCACGCAGATCTCCTGGAGAAAGGGAATGGCGCAACCGCTCGGCATCGCCTCCACGGCGTCGACAACCCCTTTGGGCCCACTAAGAGGCAGCGGCGCCGCGCTGAACTCAAGGAAGCCGCGCAAGCTGCATCGCTCCCCGGTGGCGGCGTTGGCGCAGGAGCCCCTGGGCAACTCGTGAGGTTTGTGCCAGGGGCGGAGCTGGAGTTATCTTCTTGGACAGCCGTCACACAGGTGATGGCGACGGCCAGGGCTGCTAGGAAGTCTGAGACGGCAGCGAGAGCTGCCCGCACCGAGCGGCTCGAGGAGTATATGAAAAAGCCAACTGGACGTCATCAGCTCGCGGTTTCCTGGCTTTGCAGACTTCGGCATGCTTGCCTCAGACGTTATACCAACGCCTGCCTTGTCGGAACTGTTCACGCATTGGGAGTTCAGCCCCATTGCCTCGCTTGAAAAGGCGAAGGAGATTACTGCCCTCAGCAACTTCACGCCTCTTGGCAATAGCGTTCACGAGGCCATCTTGCGCGAATGGTCACGCATGCACGAAGTGGTGAGCCGCGGTGATGGAAGGGAGCCTCTTCCAGATCGCGACAAGACGCCCGTGTGTTCAATATATGGCATGTGCTTGTGCAGTGGTGACGGCTCGGGGTGGTGGAACATGCGGGAAAATTGTCGCAAAAAGGGTTGGGGCAAAGAGTTCAGTCCTTCGCTTCGCCCTGTAGCTCGCCAGATGGTTGTCGACGCCAAAGTATTCGCCGTGTTCGTTGCCACGTCCCGCGTCTCAGACTCTGCCGAGGGGCAGCCGAGAGTGGTCAGCCATTGGCGGTGCCACATTGCCAAGCAACAGATCTCGCCTCACAAAGCCATGTTTCATATCATGGACGGTTCATGCGTGGCTTTTGATGCAGGCTGCGTTGTTGCTCCTGGGCATGAAATCACGCTGCGCCCTCGCGCAGAGTTCCAGAACGATGTCCAGGCCATGAATCGGGTGGATCGCCCTTTCAAATGGATGGTGGCTTATTTCGTCATGACGCCCGACATGCGCGCAATGGCGCGCTGCTGCGCGCGATCTGGCCGCCGCGGTCGGGTGGCGCTTCGAATCGGGCATCCTGGGGGCAGCGCCCGCCCGACGACAGCTCCGACGCTTCCGATGGCGACCTGCGCGGCGCCGAACCAGATGGCGAATCCGACCGCGAGCCCGACCTGGCGTCCGACCGCGACAGCGAGGCATCGCCGCAGCAGGAGGAGTCCGACGACAGCCCGACCAGCGACGACGGCGACCCTGCTGACATGGTCGATGGCAGTGGCAACGGCGGGGGAAATCATAATGACGGGGGCGGAGGCGATCCGCCTCCGCCCCCGCAGCCGCCGCTGCCGCCGCCCCCCGCGCCGCCGCCGGAGGATCCCCCGCCTGGTGGCGGCGGCGGCGGCGGAGAAGGCCCTCGCGGGCCTGTTGGGCCGCGGCACATGGCGAATCCAACGGCGCATGCGCCTGGCGGTTTCATCGTTTTTTATGCATCGTCTCAAGCTTTCTACGGTTACTGCGACCACCGCGAGGAGCACGGCAGATGCCAGATCACGCGCACTGCGCGCCCTGGGCGTAGAGCGGCCCAGGGCAGGCCATTGGGTCTCATTGCCGCTTGGCTCGCCCAGCGCAGGTGCCCAGCTTTCCCTGCGAAGGCGCTGCGCCTGCGCGCCTGCCAGCCCGCGTTTGCGGAGCGCGCGGCGGCGCGCCAGCCATTAGAGCAGTTGCCTGACGCGGAGGCCCTGCTCAGAGAGGAGCGGCCGCTGCGCGACTGAGAGGGCCCGGGGCCCGTTTGAGCATTGGAAATGGGCATGGTTACCATCGGCCTCATCATCATCATGATTCAGCATCATGCGCCTACGGGTTTATCCATCATCCGCTGCTTCTTCCTCCCCCTGGTTTTCCCTCCTGCCCCCCCGCTATTTGTCTCCCGCTCTAGACTTCCTCATTTTGGCGCAGGGCGTGCTTAAATAATGCCCGCGGCAATTTCCGCCACCCGTTCGGGCAGTGCTCAAAGGATGTCTGCGGCACGTTCCGCCACCCTTTCTAGGTTTTCTCTGCGGGCAATGAGGTGCCGCGGTTATGTCTTGATGTGGGCACTACAGCCCCGTTCCTGATATTCACGGTAGTTTGTTTTTGTATCAATCGGTGTTTTTGTTTCTCTTTCCCTCCCCCCATTGCCCGTTTCTTTCCTTCGATCCTCATTCGGCGTTTCCTACCCGATTTCATCGTTGTCGTCCTTCTCGGCCTGTAGATCCTCATCCAGCCTCCGTGTTCCGCCCAACTCCGTCGCTTGTTCTGCCCCCAGCGGCAACAATTGGAGCCGCGGTAGTCCTGCAAGGCCCCCGCGAGGGCCCAACAGCGCAGTTTCTGATCGCATCTGGATCACAGACGTGGTTCTGCGTGTCGAAGGGCAAATGTTAGGGCTTCCGTTGTGTTTCTTGCTGTGTCGTTTCAAACATAACCCCCTTTGCGGGGCCATCGGTCTCTGGAGGACCACGTTGGGGTTGTGAGCAAAGCAAAGGCTGTCGCATCGCGGGCCACGCCGTTAACGCAACGGCCCTTGGGCGCCGAAAGGGCATGTTGTCTGGCGACGTGGTCGCCTCAGAAACGTGAGTTTTTTTTTTGTTTTGACAATTGGGGGGCTGTGCGCGCGGCGACAGCGCGACGCTGTCGTTATAGCGTCATGTCCTTTCCTACACGCGCCACGCGCGTAAGTGAAAGCAGCGCGCGGCAACGATCATGTTTATAATCGTGCTTGCCACGTTGTATGCAGAGAGCACGACAACTGTTGGAGCGTCGTTTCGGAGGGCACCAGCGGCACGAAGAACACTGCGCATGCTCGTGGAAGGAGGGGTGCGATCACAATCGCACAAGCGACGTGCCCATCCGAAGCAAAATATGTCAGCGTTACCCGGGCAGTTACTCCTACGGTGTTGCAACCACAGTAGGCTTTTCGAGTGGCCCGCCTCGCGTCGCTCGTTGAACGCTAAGACAGCGCTGACGCAGTGGTACAGCACGGCTACATTGCACCATTAGTAGCAATAGTGGCAGCAGTAGTCGTAGTAGCAGTCTTGGTAGTAGACGTAGTAGTAGCAGTAGGAGTAAAACATATAATTAATATCGTCGCAATTGTAATGTTATGGGTCGTCGTAGTAATCGCAGTTGCCGCAGTGGTGCTATTGATGCTGCTACTGGTAACAACCGAGGTTCCTGACATCAGTAGCTGCAGTGGCCGTGGTATTACAGAACTACTTGTTACTATTGTTATACATTGCAGTAGTGATGGTAATCATAATTCTAGTTGTCGTCGTAGCAGCAGTAATCGCAAACGCCGCAGTAGTAGTCGTTGTCGTAGTGGTAGCCGCCAACACACTCGACTTTACTCAATATGGGGTAACGCATGTTGGTAAACATGAAGGCGATTATAGCGAACCTGGCACTGAGAGACGTTGTGTGACCGCGCTGACGCTTGCGGGCGACGCGTCAGCGCGATCCTATCCACGCGCGCGACGCGTGTTATCGGAATCCGATCTCCTGGGCGGCGTGATTCACATTGCGGGCCTCGCGCGAAGACTCTAATCGTCGGGCTTTTCCTCTGCGGTGGCACAACTGGCGCTGCGCTGCGTGCCCCGCTGCGCCCGCTGGCATCGCTGGCCACGCGCTGGCGTCGCTGTTCCCCCCGCCGTTGTCGTGGCAACATCAGCCATTAGTTCCGCGACGAACGGCGCGTGTTTCTTGTAGGCCCGATAGGTAACAGTGTCATTTTGGGTAGCGTTGTCGTCGGCATTAGTAAAGAGCCATTTGCAGTGTGCTCGCGCGCGCCGCGGCTGCTGTTTTTGACATGGCTTCCAGGTTGCCACCCCCCCGCCCGCAGCGGGCGCCGCAATGCGCGCAGATGCTCGCCTCGTTGGCGCCCGTGGGGCTGCGAGTTCCGTCGCGCGGAAAATGTTGTTTCGCCGTTGCGAACGATAATTGAATCGCAGAGACTTCGGTTGATGTCGTCATCGAACAAGACGAACGCATTCTGTTGTGACCTTTGCATTCTGCGATCGCTAAGCGCGGCGGCTGCTATTTCAGTGGCAACGGCGCAAGTCCCGACTGCAGCGGCAATACCGCCAGCGTTGCGTTCGTGATTGTGTCATGCGCAAGGCGTTTCGGTAGCATCGGGCGGCTTGTTGAACATGATTTTACGGCGCCAGCAGGCGCGAACTTGGGCTGCGACTCGGGCTGCGAATCCGTCTTGTAACGTCTGCTTGTTTCCTGGGTCAATTATATCCTCGCGTTCCGCGCGGGCGTCGGTTCATCGCGCGCTGCCAATGCAGGGGCGACCAGCTTCGTGATTGTCGTTGCATGCCTCCGTGCTTCTGCCTTGAAACGCGAGTCTCACATTTGGTATTAGGCATGCGCGCCACAACGGACGCTGCCACCCGCGCGCGTTGCGCGCGCGCGGCGGGATCAGATGCGAACGCCGATTCGTGTCGTATGTCCACTTTTTGGCATTGGAGACCAAATGCAGCCGCGACGGTCGTCGGCGCGGCGACATCGCGATGCCCGCGGGAAACATTGCCCGCCGCGCCTCCCTTTGCATTGCTGTTTTCATTTCCAGGGCTGCGCGGCGTTATCAGGCACGCCGCCGCCATTCGACGAACCGTCGCCAGCGCCCGCCTGAACCAGCGCTCCGCATGGCGCGCGCCATCGCGCGCGTGGATTCTAGTTCTTCAGCGGCAGCGCGCTCACGTGGATGGCGCCGCGACGCGCGCGAATAATTATCACTCGTCTGTTTCCGCGCCCCATGCCATTTTGGCAGCTTTTGCTTTTTCTACCAAGATCGTTTGTTGCAGCGCCCTAGTGGGGCGGACATGCCGTTGTCATTTACAGCGCGCGTTGGCGTGTCTTGCGCATGGCGCAAGCCCGCTAACCATGGCATGCGCGAGCATTGTTGCGTCATGAAGGCGGCGTTTGATCCGAACTGCAATGCGCGACGCAATCATGTTTCGACCATTCTTGCGAAGTAGGTCCACAGTGCGCGGGGCATTCCTGGGCCGCCCCTCTGCGCGGCGAGATGCCCGTTGGATTCTATCGGAACGATTCGGGTGCGTTGCGCGCCGCAGAGCGGACGCGCCGCCGTTGAAGATGTTCTCCGCGCGCCCGCCCCGCGCCGCCCATTTCGCGCTGCCGCGCCGCGACGTGGAACGCAGAAGCTTTTGGCGCGCTGCGCCCTCCCGCCTCCGACCCAGCTTTGGTCGCGGCGGCCGCGGCGGCCCGCCCGTCTCGATGCGCCGTCTACGCGTAACGGTCGCAGCCGCGTCTTTGCATCTGCCTTCCTGTCAGGTCACGATCGCGCGGGCGGGCGCCCGCGGCAGCGCGCGGCTGCGCCGCGGTTTCGCTTTCGATCGCTGGCGGGCGTGCCGCCATTCTGCGCCCCCGGGCGCGCGGTGATTCATCTAGCCGATGGGCTTCCGCGCCAACATTGCATTGCCACCAATGCGGCGCGATGTTGCGGATCGCGCCGACGGCCCACTATGGGCGCGCCAGCGCGCCCAAGTCGAAGCGATGCGCTGACGCGAGGGCCCGACGCAACGCATTCACATTGCGAACCGACGCGCGAGGTCAATTCACCTCCGTAATCCGAACCGCATCGACATTCGGAGGCTGCTTCAAGGAGGTAATTAAAACGTATTTGAAACGTAATTTAAACGTAATTCAAACGTAGAGTGTACAATAATTGCTTTAAGATTGTACGACCAATTGCACGGGTGAAACTAAGATAGAAAGCCGCCGACATCGAATTGCACAACAATTGTACAGCGAAGGTGGGTAAGCACGTTTGGTGGCAATCTGCTGCGTGTGATGACACCAGTAACAGGTAGGAAACTCGTCCTGAGTTTTTACAAGCTACCCCAGGGTGTCAAATTTCCTTCCTCCGCCACAGTCTGTTTTTTGATGCATATACAGACCGTGCGCCCCGTGATTTCTGCGGGGGGCGCCCGTCCACTGCTGCGTTGCCGCTCCGTAAACCTCCTGTCCTCGAGGGTTCGTCTCCGCCAAGGCCCTCGCCCGTGCGCGCCCTCCCCCCAGTGCGCTGTGCGCCGCTTCTACGGCTGCGGTAAGTGCCCTTGTATTTGGCGCATGTGCCGCAGTTGTTGCCGCTGGGGTCCGCGCGCAAACTTTCTACGACGGAAGTCGGGCGGCATGCGGTTTCTTCGGAAGTGCCTTTGCGCTGAGCGCCCCGCTCGACTTCGTCGCGCTCACTTGCCTTACTGCGCTCGCTCGCAGGATGAAGTCGCACCATCGGGCTGGCTTTAGGGCGCTGGCTGCCCTTGGCTCAGAGGGCGCGAAACCAGCGCGCTCCAAATCTGCGCAACGCGCGCGCTGGCGCCATCGGCGGCAAGCGCCATCGTTGCCCTTGGACTCGGATGCGCAAAGCCCGTGGGGGGGCCTTTGTCTAGGGCGCCTTCGTTTCTGAATGTCGTTCGCTTCGGTTGCGCAGCGCAATCAACTCATGTCGCTGGTGATGCGCGGCGCTGCTCCCAGGCCACATTCCGCGCCATCTGTCTTCCGTTCTACTCACCTCCTTGCGGACGGCTTCGCGCCATCGCCGCTGTCTCTGCGGCGTTCGGCCCTTGGTCAGCGCCGCCGTTCGGAATGCCTTCTGCGCGCAACCCAACCTCTGCATCTGGCCTCCCGCGCCCGCCTCTCCGCCGCTTGCGCGACCGTCCGCCCGTGCTGGCCGTCGCTGCCGCGGCTGCCTGCGATCAGGCGCGCGCGCTTG